CTACAAAGTAACAACACTTAGTCAGCACCTCATAAGGAACATTCATGCCATATTTGGTTTCATTCCATTCAGTGGTTCTCTAGAAGAAGTTCCGGACGACGCTGGACGACGACGGATGCCAAGTGATGAGAAAAGCTCACTTGCAGGTGAGCTAAAAATAGACAAATCAATTATAACTGACCTTGAAATGTCGTTTGCGCAAATAATTTTGCGAAACGAAACCGGTGTTTAAAACCAATTACACAATAAGTTCGTTTCCCGTATTTGTCATTAGTCCGTAAGATGCATCATCTGATAGAAATAGACTTGTCCAAATGTGGACAGGTGGAAGACATCAAGTCAAAGTACTGAATATTAAATAATCATTTGGAATTTCCTTGTTTCATAGATAATAAAAAAATATTATTATCCATTTGGAAAAAAAGGGAATGCATGACAACAGATTAACCCGATATTCTCGCTTTTCCAGTGGATGAGTCTATTACGTTTTTGACACGTGTGTTGAAACTTATTTTCGTACGACGTTTTCTGGAATTGATTAAGAGCTACGCGAATCTGTTTTCCTTGTTTGTGACATGACGATTTCATTTCGTCTTTGCCCGTGCACCCCCTTTTTTTACGGGAAATTAATTATTAGAATGTCATGCGATGTTTATGACAGCTGAGCAATAAAATTTCACCGAACTAAAATATAAGAAATGATGACAAAATAGCATAACAAACATATTGTTAGAAAGGTGTAATATATATTTATTTTGCATATTTTTCTGTCTTGAAAGATATTTTTTTTCTTTTTTTTCCCGACCGACCGACCCGACTTTTTCATGGGGAAAATCCGTAAACCAACAAATTAAAAAACCCTGGCCCTATATAACAAAAAATCACTTAAAACAGTGACAATAGAATCACTGTGTCAAGTGATTAATAGAGACCAATACTGATGGCTTTCTCACTACTTATTGCAATTTCATTTCAAACAAGCACTAACAATACTAAAATATCTAAAAAACAAGACTACACATTGCACTTTAAGGAACTTTTACAGATACAAACTTGAATGAAGTTTAAACTGCCTTCAACATTTTCAAGGAGAAAATTAATGCATCCACGAAATTAATAGAAAAAAAATATTTTTGTACCCATAAAATGAATAATTAAAATTTATCAAATTCTAAAGGGAGCTTACATCAATAGATATAAACAATTCACCAAAGTTTCATAAGAACTGCTGAAAGCATTTTTGAGTTTTTGTTCGAAAACTGGAAAATCATCCTTTTTTATGAATAAAACCCTGCAACTCAGAAACGTAAAATCTAAAATTTATAAAAATCAAAAGGGAGCTCATGTTAATAGATATAAACAATTCACCACAATTTCTTGCAAGTTGGTGAAGGCATTCTTGAGTTATTGTGCAAAAACTGGAAAATCCTCCTTTTTTTAATGAATAAAACCCCATAACTCGGAAACGTAAAATCTAAAATTTATAAAAAAACAAAAGGGAGCTCACGTCAATAGATATAAACAATTCACCAAAGTTTTATGTAAAATGGTTTAAGCGTTTTTGAGAAAATGTCTGACATGTTGACGACAATTGTATACCATAATAAGTCCCATAAACGGGTGTATAAAAACAAGCATAATACTCCTTATAACACAAAAAAAAAACTTAAAACAGTGACAATAGAATCACTGTCTTAAGTGAATAATAGAGACCAATACTGATGGCTTTCTCACTACTCATTTCATTTTCATGTCAACAGCACTAAAATTACTAACATATCTAAAATACAGAACAACACATTGCACATAAGGAACTTTAACAGATACAAACTTTATATGAAGTTTTAAACTGCATTCAACATGTTTAAGGAGAAAATTAATGCATCCACAAAATTTGTAGAAAAAATCAAACTTTTGTACCCATAAAATAAAAAGCAAGCATAATACTCCTTATATCACAAAAAAATCACTTATAACAGTGATAATAGAATCACTGTCTTAAGTGATTAATAGAGACCAATACTGATGGCTTTCTCATTCCTTATTGCATTTCATGTCAAACAAGCACTAAAATTACTAACATATCTAAAAAACAAAACTACACATTGCACATAAGGAACTTTAACAGATACAAACTTTAAATGAAGTTTTAAACAGCCTTCAACATGTTTAAGAAGAAAATTAATGACTCCACGAAATTTAAAGAAAAACAAACTTTTGTATCCATAAAATGAAAAACAAGCATAATACCCTTATATCACAAAAAAATTTGTAAGGGTTCCGCGGAACCCAGTGTCTCGCCTACTTTTGCTGTTAATCGCAGGCTCAACAAAAATGAGAAAAAAAATTCATAAAAATATTCCTCTCTATACAATCATTTGAATGTAAGTAGCTTCTGTCCAAGTTTGGTAAAAATCCAGGATAATTTATGAATCTAATAAATGTTTTAAAACCTTAAACTGCAGAGTGTATGTAATGTTGACTGGAAGAAAAACTAAGTCCATTTATAAGTAAAATACGGAAATAATGGAACAAAATTTTATCAAAATTTCCTTCTAGATACTAGCTTTTGATCATAAACAAGCTTCTGTCCAAGTGTGGTACAAATCCAGGATAGTTTAAGAGAGTTGTTAAAATTTTAAAAACTTTAACCACAGAGTGAACGTAATGTTAACTGGCAGAAAAACTAAGTCCATTTATAAGTAAAATACGGAAAAAATGGATTTTTTTTTTTACAAAATTTACTTCTGGATACTATCTTATGATCATAAACAAGCTTCTTTCCTAGTTTGGTAGAAATCCAGGATAGTTTAAGAAAGTTATTAAAATTTGAAAAACTTTAACCACAGAGTGAATGTAATGTTTCCTGGCAGAAAAACTAAGTCCATTTATAAGTAAAATACGGAAAAAATGGAATTTTGTTTTTACAAAATTTACTTTTGAATATAATCTTATGATCATAAACAAGCTTCTGTCCAAGTTTGGTAGAAATTCAGGATAGTTTAAGAAAGTTATTAAAATTTGAAAAACTTTAACCACAGAGTGAATATTTGTGGACGCCGCCGACGACAACGACGACGACGACGACGCCGACGGAATGTAGGATCGCTATGTCTCGCTTTTTCGACAAAAGTCGAAGGCTCGACAAAAATCACTTAAAACAGTGACAATAGAATCACTGTGTCAAGTGATTAATAGAGACCAATACTGATGGCTTTCTCATTCCTTATTGCATTTTCTTGTCAAACAAGCACTATAATTACTAACATATCAAAAAAACAAAACTACATAAGGAACTTTAACAGATACAAACTTTAAATGAAGTTTTAAACAGCCTTCAACATGTTTTAGAAGAAAATTAATGCATCCACAAAATTTGTAGAAAAAACAAACTTTTGTACCCATAAAATGAAAAACAAGCATAATACTCCTTATATAAAACAAGAGTGCACACGCTGAAATGTCTCGCCTTCTTTACTAATCATTGATATTATGTTGATAGTCCTAAATATAAAGCTTTACTACAACTATCACATACACTTATCATGATCCAAGAAAATGAGGTCAAGGTCATATAAACCAAACAAGAAATACATGTACACCTTACAATCATTCAATACACTAAATATAGTTGACCTATTGTTTATAGTTTCTAAGATACAGACTTAACCAAGAAAACTAAACATTGACCAATGAACCAAGAAAATGAGGTCAAGGTCAGATGAACAATGCCAGGCAGACATGTACTACAGCTTGCAATCCTTCCATACAACAAATATAGTTGACCTATTGCTTATAGTATTAGAAAAACAGACCAAAACACAAAAACTTAACACTGAGCAATGAACCGTGAAAATGAGGTCAAGGTCAAATAAAACCTGCAAGACTGACAGGTACATCATAAAATATTTCCATACACCAAATATAGATGACCTATTGCATAAAGTATCAGAAAAAAAGACCAAAACTCAAAAACTTAACTTTGACCAGTGAACCATGAAAATGAGGTCAAGGTCAGATGACACCTGCCCGCTAGACATGTACACCTTACAATCATTCCATACACCAAATATAGTAGACCTATGGCATACAGTATATGAAAAACAGCCCAAAACACAAAAACTTAACTTTAACCACTGAACCATGAAAATGAGGTCAAGGTCAGATGACACCTGCCAGTTGGACATGTACACCTTACAGTCCGTCCATACACCGAATATACTAGACCTATTGCTTATATTATCTGAGATATGGACTTGACCACCAAAACTTAACCTTGTTCATTGATCCATGAAATGAGGTCGAGGTCAAGTGAAAACTGTGTGACGGGCATGAGGACCTTGCAAGGTACGCACATACCAAATATAGTTGAACTATTGCATATAGTATTAGAAAAAAAGACCAAAACTCAAAAACTTAACTTTGACCACTGAACCATGAAAATGAGGTCAAGGTCAGATGACACCTGCCCGCTAGACATGTACACCTAACAATCATTCCATACACCAAATATAGTAGACCTATGGCATACAGTATAAGAAAAACAGACCAAAACACAAAAACTTAACTATTACCACTGAACCATGAAAATGAGGTCAAGGTCAGATGACACCTGCCAGTTGGACATGTACACCTTACAGTCCTTCCATACACCGAATATACTAGACCTATTGCTTATAGTATCTGAGATATGGACTTGACCACCAAAACTTAACCTTGTTCACTGAATCATGAAATGAGGTCGAGGTCAAGTGAAAACTGTCTGACGGGCATGAGGACCTTGCAAGGTACGCACATACCAAATATAGTTATCCTATTACTTATAATAAGAGAGAATTTAACATTACAAAAAAATCTTAACTTTTTTTTCAAGTAGTCACTGAACCATGAAAATGATTCCGTAGCCGCCGCCGCCGCCGCCGCCGTAGCCGCCGCCGCCGCCGCCGGATCACTATCCCTATGTCGAGCTTTCTGCGACAAAAGTCGCAGGCTCGACAAAAAAATCACTTAAAACAGTGACAATAGAATCACTGTGTCAAGTGATTAATAGAGACCAATACTGATGGCTTTCTCACTACTTATTGCAATTTCATGTCAAACCAGCACTAAAATTACAAACATAACTCAAATACAAAAGTACACATTGCACATAAGGAACTTAAACAGATACAAACTTTAAATGAAGTTTAAACTGCCTTCAACATTTTCAAGGAGAAAATTAATGCATCCACGAAATTTATAGAAAAAACAAACTTTTGTACCCAAAAAATAAAAAAAAAACAAGCATAATACTCCTTATATCACAAAAAAAAATCACTTAAAACAGTGAAAATAGAATCATTGTCTTAAGTGATTAATAGAGACAAATACTGATGGCTTTCTCACTAATTATTGCATGTCAAACAAGCACTAAAATTACCACATTTTGTAATTACACATAAAAAGTACACATTGCACATAAGGAACTCTATAGGACACAAAAAATCAATTCAATTACCGTGAAAGTACTTTAATTTGTGGGTATCAATTTTCGTGGTTTGAGCAACATTTACATGTTCGTGGGTTTTAAAATTGTGGATTTTAGTTTTCCAAAAAAAGTAAAATCAAAATATTGAAGTTATTAGAAACAAAGGTTACAAATTGTCTAGATTAAAGGAAGTTGCAAAGTATAAATTGACCAATGTAAATTGTAAATCAAAGTGATCACACTAATTAACTCGAAATAGAGACTGATTAAAGACCATCAAAGGTGTTAATTAGGCCATAAACATGTCACTTAAATTCGTAGATAAACAAGAAAATTGGTTTCTCACGAATAAAAGTACTTTCACAGTATAACTATGCCTTCAACATAAAAATATTAATTTAATTTCAACAGTAGTCTTCTGCCAGTTAAAACAGTTTCTGGCTCTTTTAGAATATCTGTGATCATGGATGGATCCACCAATGACAATTCTGTTTTGTCAGGCCACTGTTTGAGTTCAATATCCTTGATATCTTTTAAAAAAGATATCACAGGTTCCCCATCAATTAGTTCAACAACCTGAAATGTAGAAATAAATGGATATATATATATTTATATAAACTTTATTTGTTTAACAATCTATTGATATGTAACTTTGTTTGCCAATTAAACAAACTATCCAACAAAGTTCAAACGTAGTAGATGTAAGTAATTATAGGCAACCATACAGCATTCAACAATGAGAAAACCCATACCTTATATTTGGCTATAAAAGGGCCTTACAAGAAGAAAAATGCAAAACATTTCAATTGAGAAAACTAACCAGTATACTACATGTACTACAGGCTAAAAAGAACCAAAATCAGAGTACTTGCAGTTACTACATGTACTTAAAGCTACTTCAAGACAATTACAAATGATAAATAGATCTTGATCTCCCAAACTATGCATATAATCAGCCAAGATTAACAAAAATGTAATTTCAGGGAAATAATAATTTAAGCCTCTCTGTATGTGATGTTTGGTTATTTTCCAAAAATAAAAAGGATGTCTCTTAGCTTTTCAAACTCTTTGAATTACAATTTGTGTTTCATTTCATGGCATACACATTTTACTCGATATGTGTGTGGCATTAAAAGGCATTCCTTTGATAAACTAAATTTAACATACCTGTCCAATAAAATATTGCTCTTTTGTACTCCCTCTAGCTTTTACGACAAACTTAACTCTCACGAAATCATTTTCCTTTGGCACCTTTAAAAAAAAATGATCACATACTATTTAAAACAGTTTAATTTATGATGTCTTAGTTTCATATGTAATTATAACTTCATGAAATTTTCAATCTCAAAGATTAAAATCTTGCTACAGATATAGCTATCCAATAAAGTGTAGCATAGATGAACATTATCTGACAAATCAGGACAATATCACTCTACAAGAAAAAGAAAACCAAACTGAAACTTTGAATAAAAAAGATATTGCATGTATCATGACCACATTGTTACATAAATAACCAAAATTTATATCTATTCTCCACGTTTATCTATTCATAAAACAGGTCTTACATTTCTTGTATCCTTGTGCAGTTGTGCAGCTGGTATGGGTTGACCTTCTTGGGTGGTCTGGACTTGAGTAGCCTGGACTTGAGTGGCCTGGACTTGTGGCCTGCAAATCTTGGTTGGCCTGAAGTTCTTGTGTGGCCTGCACTTCTTCTGAGTCATCCTAAAAGGGCAAATTTATAAATCTAATATTATCACTAGTTACAGTTTCCTATCTGATCATAAATAAAGTGTTATGCAGCTGTCATTGGTATGTATCTCTTTTCCCTTATAGTCATCATCTATGCATTTTTGTTGCTTGACAAAATTCTTTAAACAGTTCAGAATCCAGTGTCTATACAAAAACTCGTAGATATGACAGAAGAATCAATAAATACAAATCAATGTTTACCAATAAACATGATAAAAGTAATGAAACACTTACCATGTGCTGTTCAAACACATCTTCAAACTCCCGGAAACTGATTGTGGTACCATCTTCCATTTCAATTTCCGAGGCACCATCAATAGGGAATAAATCATTCAAGGTGGTATTACTTATCTGTGCAAAAAAAAAAAGGCTAACATCAATTCACTAAGTAAACAATCTTCATCAGCCTCAATTTAAATATTAAACTACATTAGATATTCATGATAAAAGTAGTGAAATTGATGATGATGATGATGATGATGATGATGATGATGATGATGATGATGATGATGATGATGATAGGCTGTCGAAAGTTCAGTGGCAAATAACATGTAAATATGATCATATTAACCTTGCTTATCACTTGACACATGCTGAGATGATGTTTTGTAAATAGGCAGCTGAAAGGTAACAGGCCACAGGAAGACATTTTACATTAATCATGCACATAATTATGACCTTAAGACTACTAGTCTTTGCTCTTAATTCTAAATGATGTGTAAATAGTTGAGAAATAGCAAATATCAATTTTGAACCCTTTGGTTTGACCTGGCCAGAGATCAAACTCATCATCAAGACAAAAAAATTACAGCTTTAAGATATATACTTTGATGATGGTTTTTGCAAAATATCAGGACACTAAATTTGCATTTGAAAAGAATTTTCCAGGATTACCTTGTCAAAAAAATAAATCAATATGTATTTAAATATTTTGATTACTTAAAGTATCCCTGAGTAGTAAATGTTATTGTAAATGTGGTTTTACCTAATGAAGGTAACTTAAAAATTTGTAATGTACAGGAAAATTGTTTCATGCTTTGTTCGTGTTGTTAGTAGTAACAAATCCATGCAAGTTAACAGTAGTAAGTATATAAAGTAAATTCTTCATGCTTTGAACAATACAGAACAATGTTTTTATTTTAAGAAATGGTCAGGCTACATGCTGTAATTAACTCTAATGCAACCCTGTGATTAAATTTATTAGGCATGATGAAATGAAATGTTTTATCTTGCATTCAATGAGATCAGTTTCTTTTTCAAATTAAACATTAAATTTAGATAAAAAAAAATACACACAGAACAAAAACTGACTCTTTTTTTATAGTTGAGCTTGGCTTACAATTTCACAAGGAATGACATAGCTGATTTTTTTAAAGTTACAAATAAGCAATGCAGCATTCTCCCTAGGGTGCCATGGTGATATTTGACAGATTTTATAGTACAATGTTTCATATTGAAGTGTGTGCTGTCATTTGGAAACTTTGTATATTTTAAAAATAATGGGGAGATATTCCAATGAAAATTGTTCGCAATGTTTAATTAAAAAATAACATGCAAGTAAGTATCAGTTGCCAGTGTTGGGAAGGTTAATTCAACAACTCAATATAAACATGTTAGAATTCAACTTGAAAATGAAGAATGTACATTTAAACTGTCCTCATGGTCATTGCTGGTTCCTGCCTTGGGTACATTGTTCCTTTTAGTAAATAAAAATAAGTATGACCAATGTTAAAATATGTTAAAAACAATATATATGTTTGCTGTACAGACTGAGTCATTGTCAGTTTCAATCTTTTATGCAATAATCATAAATAGTTTCTGAGATACAGCGCGACATGTGAAAACACATCCCCCTTTTTTTCCCCCCAAAAAACAATAACTCTAAAATAAAATAGAGAATCATCACGAAATAGTATACAGATCATCAGATTAATATAACTTACAAGTGTGTAAAGTTCAATGCAACAATGTTTCTGAGATATGGCACAACATGTGAACCCCCCCCCCCTTTTTTTTTACAACTAACTCAACAGCTCTTAAAATCACTGTTATATACCTTTTGCTGTCATGGATGATCATTGGTATTTCATCACTTATTCTTCTACATGTTGTTCAAGTACATTAGCTTCAGTTCTGAAAGAGAAGTTTTCAACAATAAGTATTGGATACATTGGTTGCTACCAGAGGCCTTGATCAGTCTTTGTGATAAAATAGCACTATTGACACAAAATTATTTTTTAAATAAATATTTGAGACCTTTTTCCTTCATAGACATTGACAGGGTGATGGTTGTATTTTGAATATATGCAGACATCAATTGCAAACAGGGCATTAGATTGATGTCTTATTAATGTCCAGTGTCAAATTGATTTATAGGCATATTTAAGAATAAAAACATGTTGATAAACTAATATATATACCCTTCCTTGGAATAGAATGACACATTGAGCTGGATTCTTAATGTGCAAGCAGTCATTTCCTTTGTATATGTTAGCATGATGCAAAGCCACCCAGACTTATTTCATACTGCTATATGGTGTTGGCTGAGCAGAAAAGCAGCAAATACTAATTGCAATTTCTAAAGGTAAACAGGGAATCTAAGCAAAAGGTGTTTGTGATGTACAGGAAGCAATCAATTAAAATGATACCTAATCTACAATTTAAATGTACTGCTTATTAATTTAATTGGGGGGAAATACAACATAAAAGTGTAATCAATAGTCATTAGATAACCAACACAATCAGTATTGTCATTTTTTATAACTTGTGTATAATGATGACTCAACTTACGATCTGCTTTGAGACGTCTTTCCTCTTCCCTTTCCATTGAGTGTGCCTTTTCCTCTTCCTCTACCTCGATTTGCCTTTTTTAGCCTTTTGTTTATGGCACCATCTGATTCACTCTCAGAATCACTCGATATTCTGAAAAAAGGATAATGCAGTAAATGGTTAAACATGCCAAAGAATCATAGTGTATGACTTCAACATCTGCCTGGCATTTTAACCCAATACACTCCTAATCAAATTCAAGGTCTATGTGCAACTTGATGCTTAAGATGTTGAATAGTGAATAGGTGTTGCTAAAAAATGTCACAGTTTATATGTCAGGAGTGCACACGCTGAAATGTCTCATCTGTTCAACTTATCATTGATTTTTTGTTGAAAGTCTGTAACATGAAGGTTTTACCACAAGTATCAAATAAACTTAAGCCTGTAATTCAGTGGTTGTCGTTTGTTTGTGTGTTACATATTTGTTTTTCGTTCCTTTTTTTAATATAAATAGGGCCGTTAGTTTTCTCGTTTGAATTGTTTTACATTGTCATATCAGGGACTTTTAAAGCTGACTATGTGGTATAGGCTTTGCTCATTGTTGAAGGCCGTACAGTGACCTAAAGTTGTTAATGTCTGTGTCATTTTGGTCTCTTGTGGACAGTTGTCTCATTGGCAATCATACCACATCTTCTTTTTTATAATTAATATTATCAATTTTCTTTATGATAATGAGGTCCCATGAACTTACTCTTTAAATTGTTGCCTCCCTCCTCCCCTCCCTCCTCCCCTCGCTCCTGTTTCTCTGGCCTTCTGGCTAAACAGTTCCCTCTTTCTGTAAATATTACAAAATAACATTAGCATATCACACTTCATACAAAGAAAGATAATATCAAACATTTACACACTGGTTAAAAAAAAATCTAGAATCTTAATGAAATTCAAGCTTCCGTTCAAAAAAGAATATGGCTGCTACATATTATTATGTACTTTGTACAAATTTACACATCCAATACTTGTGAAAGGTCTCACCTTTTAATGTTTACTGTTTCATTTATTTGCATGGCATTGATTCTTTTCTTCTGCAAGTCACAGAGAGTCATGTTGCTACTGCTAGATGTTGTTGGTAGATTTTGTGTGGCAATAAACCCAAATGAATACTTATTTGGTGTCAGCTGTTCAATTTTTTTGTCTACTTCGTCTGTTTTTGGAAAATAACCTTGTTCCGGAAAAGTATATTTTCGGCACTTTGAAATCTGTTTGGTTAATGGCAAGCCATTCTCAAAATTGTCACACACATCTCCAAAGCCCACATATTTAAACCTGTTTGTAGCTTTGTTCTTAATAATAAAAAGACACTCCACAGGTTCTTTCTCATGTGTTTGTAACTTTCCACCAATTCTGGTGAGCTCTTTGATCAGTCTAGTCTTCTTCATTCTTTCTGTTTTTATTAATCTGTCCTCAGTTTGGTATTTGCTGAAAGTCCCAGGTTTTGGTTTTTTATAGGCCATAGCCTCTACTTTGTCCTTCATAAGCTTTACTCCAAACATGTCTTCCTCGTTCCCAGAGCTGCAGCTACTTCTACGGTCTCCTTCTCCTTCTATCATTGTTGTTGTGTGTCCTGAAATTTATCCAAACATTTAAACTATTTTAATGATAAATTTGTTACCTACTATTTTTTGCATGATTATTTTAAATGTTTCTACCCTCAGGGATTTTACATGTTTTAAACATCATGAAAACATTGTACACAGACATTATCTTTTTGACAAACAGTGCATTTCTGTTTCAAGTTGCTCATTCTTAAGTTGCATGTCTATGTTGTATTTTGTATACTGTTGTTTGTCTTTTTTTTTGTTTTCATTTTTTGCCATGGCATTGTAAGTTTATTTTTTGACTTATGAGTTCGGATGTCCCTTTGATGTCTTTCGCCTCTCTCTTGCATTTGCTGTACTCTTCTAATTGTATATGAACTGTTAACAGAGATATGTCTCGCCTTTTTGTAATTTTGTGAATTTGCCCATGTTTCTGAAGACGTTTAAACATGCTAAAAGTATAAAATAATGAGCCAGATTGTAGTATATATAAATTCACTTCTTGTAAAGGCTGCAAAAATACAAGAACTGTATAGTACTTATTCCAAAAAACAAAATGAAATAGAAGTAATAAAACAAAATGCACATCCTGAAAAGAACTGCAACACTTGTGTTAAATTTACATGCTTAAATGATAATGAATATTAATAAATTTACAAGCAAGGCTTTTTTGTAATTCTACCTCATTTTAAATCAAAGTCTGATAAATACAAATATCCAATTGCATTATTTAAATCAAATGTAATTTGGATTTCTATGAATTTGATTATTTATAAAATCTTGGATCTTAGAAAAAAACACCAAACTAACATTATTTTCCATTTAAAAAAAAAAAAAAAACATTTTATTTATTAAAGTCCAAAGTATGGAATAAGAAATGTACACTGAAAAAAAGTTTTAGTGGTGCAATCCTTTTTTCAAATATATATATTCATTATACATTTTACAGAAGACATACCTACTTGAAATGTCTAAAACCCGTATTCTGAGTCTGTCAACGTTTTTCAACTTGACAATTGTATGCCGGACAACAAGTGTTAAGATTACAGACAATACTACTGCCAATATTGGGAAGATGACCATTAGAGCTGGAAGGACAATCTCATCCATGCCTTAGCTATTAAAAAAAGAAACATGCATAATATCAGTCATGCATTTATTTTGCATTTTTTATAGTATGCTCATTAGTTCACACAAGACACAAAACAAATATAAAAAAGGGGGGAGGACATGCTTGCATATTTTATTACATTAATCATGTTAATTTTCGTTGGATACCAAATTTCATGGGTACAGGAAAACCATGTATTTTAATGTTCAACAAATTACAAACTTTCTATAGGAATGAGTGCAGACTTTTCCCAAAAAAAATCAAATATTCATGAATATGCAAGTTTTCTCAAACCACAAAAATTGATACCCATGAAAAAAAAAAAGTAATCTTCAGTAATCATTTTATCTGAATATACACAACATGTACAATGTATAAACTTTTCAATCCACCAAAAGTAATACACCCGTTTCACAAACCATGCCTCTTTTGGGGAGACATATAATATTCATAGATATTTTGTTTTGTTTACAATACTGGTTCCCAGATATGATCTTTAGGTTTCATCTCATTGAGAAATAACTTAGGAATGTAACCAGTATGTATACACATTGTCATAGGGAAATTTTAATTCTGATGGTCACCAAAAGTGAAGGAAGGGGTAGTACAGAATTAAAGTAAAGTTTAAACTCCCAGAAGTTTGGGCCATTTTAATACTGAAAATAAGCAGAACAGCCCTGTTTTGACCTTTGAATAAAATAGTACTGCATAGTTTTTGGCGTAAAGGGAGTTCCTACGGGGAATTTCAAGGGTTATACCTCTAATTATAGGAAACTTAACAATGCTTTTTACCACATTAAGTACAGAATACAGATCAAGTTGAATATGGGTTGCATGATGACTTTTACTGTTCGAGAGTTATGCCCCTTTATAACAATCTATGCAATCAGGGGCATTAAATGTATCCCATTCTCCATTTATCATATTTACTAAGTATTATCTTTCACAAGCATATTCATGCAGACAAGAGACAATAAATATCAATCTACACATATACATAACAGGAGTAATAAGTCGTGCATCGCATGCATTCAAATATTATGATGATTTACCTCATCAGCATCTTCAGCAAGACCACTTCTTATGACATCTCTTAGCTCAGCTAAAAAGGACAAATACTCAGACTTTTTCCCAGCTTTAACTTTCTTAAAGCATACTTCAAAGTAATCATGTATTTCTCCTTCTGGTAACATTTCCATACAATAACTTATCTCTTTTGCAATTTGGGCTTTTGTTTGATTGTTGATGTCTTCAAATTTGTCTCTCTCTTGAGGGGTAACTGGAATTGGGTAGCTCATATTAGGAATATCTATGTCGTCATTTTATAGTACTGTGTCTTTAAAAGGAACACTCTTTTTTCTGATGCTCTTTCTATTAAATTAACTAAGTCAAAATCCAAAATATGTCCATCTATAGAAAAATGTTCATCTTTATGTTCCCAAAGGTAGTTTTTCTCCCTAAGAATCAATCTAAATGCATCTATTGCTGGATCTATGTCAAGACCCCTTAAAGATGCATCTGTTGGCAAAATACCTAACAGTGAATATAGGTTGACTTTTAAAGTCTGTAGTACAGTATTATTTCTGCAAATTTTTTGCCAAACAGCATCTGTTGGCACTCCTTTACTAATCTATTGCTTAAGTTGTTTGTTTTTCTCCTCTAACACAAAGTCTAAATCTTCACCAGTGGAGTTGTGACCAGAAGTTGTGATTGATGCAAATCTATCACTCTGCTGTTTAACTTCATCAGGCATTATTAAGTACTGTATGTGATCGTACATTTCAATCTGCTGATACTTTGGGTGGTTTCTGGCATGGAATATCTCTTTTGTCATGTATTTGGCACTGGCCATTAATGCTGCATTGTTTCGTCTAGTTCCAATACGAAAGTTGATAATCCCCTGAGAAAATCTGCAGACTTGATCCATAATGTATCTTAGGATTTATCTACATACTTAAAAAAACCTTTACCAGTGTAGTTTTCTTTTGTCAACAAACAATGCCGTACATATGGCAAAACCAGTTCACGTAAAACAGATAGATGCAATGTAAGCAGAAGTTGCCAGCTCTTGTGGTGGTCTTTACAGTTCTTGGCATACAATTTAGCAGCATCTGATGTAAAGCTCATTTCTTCACACAACTTCTCCATAATTGGTAACCAATTCAATTCAAAGAAGCCTTTGACTAGGTTCATTTCAAAATGGCCACCACCAATGCGTAGATAAAACCAATTGAACTCATGGCAAAAGTTAAATTCTTCAGTATCTGAATGTTCCTGTTGAACATGACTTTCGTACAACTGTAAGCTTAAAAATGTTTTTCCACATCTACTGTGGTCTTGGTCTTCATATATACATACCACTGCTTCTTCTTTTAACTTTTTACAAATTAAATAAGGCACCCCATCATAGCACACATGGGTCCAATGTCTTGAGTTTCCACCATACTGATATATACCATTTTCTTGGCCAATTTGACGAAGAACTCTTGCAACAGTATCAAAGGAATTTGGGTTACAGAAGACTGGATCACTTAATATAAGTTCTTTCTTTCCTTTGTGTCCAGACTGAACATGATCATATCTTTCATTTTCTTTCACATCATTAGTTGATGTTATTTTAACCTCACCATCTATACCTATGTCAAATTCTAATTTTGTAAATGATTCTTCTTTTGACTTTCGTCTTTCATTTCCCTGATTGTCATTCAGCTTTTCCTCTGTTCTTGCTTTCTTTATTCCCTCTTTTTCATTGCACCCTTGGCAAATCCTTTTTTTCTTTGAGTTCAATGTTCCACAAATGCTACACTTAATAAAACTTTCTGGGATTTCTTTTTCTATGATATTTCTGTCGATATAATCTCGGAGATTTTCTTCTTCTTCTTCTTGTTCCTCAGCCACAACTCTCATTGCAACTTCCAAAAATAAATACAACTGTTCATAATGAGCATCTATGTAACTTTTGTTTCGGTCTGAGTTAGAGTCAATGATTGATTCAACAGTGGACTTCAAGACATCAGGATCAAACTCTGGGAAATTCAAGTAATCTTCTGTATCTTTTCTTATAATGTAAGGGGGTTTTAGTTCCTTCATCTTTTGCAAATTTTCTTCAATTGCTACATATCCCTTATTGGTTATAATTGATATTTTTGCTTTATTTTTTGGTCTTATACCACTTTTGTTACCAATAACTTGTTCATTATCAAAAACATTCATAACATCACAACCAGGAAGGACTGGTGCATCAGTACTTTGCTCCATCAACCATGACAAAACAGTTTTGTAGCACCCAGCTGGCTTGGTTTTTCCAACAATATCAACTGCCTGTTTACTCCCAGTTAAAGAGTATATACATAAATTCTGTAAAAAGGCAAAAGGTGACACAAGTTTAGGTTCACATAATTTGTAGCTTTGTTCTAAAGTAGTCATTACAGTCAAGGTTTGATTATCGTCCATAGTTGATGAATTGCTTGGTAAACCACACATACCAAAGCAAAAATTCTTAACAACTGGGTTTCGATCTTGAAGCCAGTCATTTGATTTGAATGTTGCGACAGTGTCAAGATCTTTATACATCATTGCAAAGGACTGAGCATCTTCCTTAATTGATTTCCTTTGTTGAAGGCCTATAACATATGCAAACAAACTTATATCTGATGTGTCAAACTCCAACATAATTCTTTAACGATCTTTAATTTTTCATTCTCGTTTCTATTTTTTAATAAGGTACAAAACTGTTTTTTGACATAGGAAAAACAAGGTTTGCAATTTATCTGAACTTCTGAATGTTTACATTCTGTAGAATTATCCTTAAGTGCCTTCGAGGGTATCTCATCATCATCTTGTTCATTTTTCCACTCCTTGATTATCTTCTCGGGCTTCGGAATTTTTTTTTTTTTTGGACGTCCTCGTTTAGCTTGTCCCTCAGAATCATTACTTAAGAGACAAATTTTACATTTGTCTGTGTGTTTGTCAAAAGAGAAAGGTATTAAGTCTGTTGCAAATTTTTTCCCCTCTTTACCTTTGGCCTGTCGCACTCTATATAAAACACTGGAGCATCGTTTGCAAATATATACTGGATGTATGTGGTCCAAATCAAAATTCAGGTCCATCCCATACATGTCGCCTAATTCTTCATTAAAATGATGTTTGTCATATTTATATCTAAGATCTATTTCATGTCCACACAAGCGACAGAGCTTTTGTAATAATTCAGCATGCCTTTGCAACTCAGATGTATTCATTTTGGTCCTATTAATGAATGAAGTGTCCTTTAGTAATCAATAAAAAAAGTTGTTAAATAAGGGGTCGAAAATTAATAATAATATATAATTAAAATAAATGGGAAGTGTGTCGATGGAACAGATGATGCCCTGCTAGCATATAATGTAACAAAGGGACATAACTCAAGAACTGTCAAATTGATGCTACCATATTTGTCTGAGTTTGGCGGTTATAAGCATTGTCTATCAGTTTCATAACATTTGGTTGAGACAAATTTAAGTTAGAGAACTGAAACCAACTTTGGGACGTACAAAAAACATGGACAAGGTTAAAACTTTATGCTCCTACGCTACAGCTGGGGGATAAAAATTAAAGAACAATAAAAACTCATAAACTGAAAATGCTATGACCAAAAACAAACACAAACATTTTTATATACAGAATGTACAGTTGTAGAAACTAAAGATTCAAGGAATGATAAATAAGATTTTGCAGGTCAAAATTATAATTTGTAGTGACGTTTATGAAATATAATCATTCATTAAAAAAAAAGTTTTGATCACTGGTATAAATAAAAATAAAACACTTCAAAGGGCGTCTTTCATTGCATACAATTTGAAATAATGTTGATCACTGGTACAAATCATTTTTAATCACAGCACAGAGTGATTTCATTCAATTAAATGTAAATCACTTGTATAAATGATTTTAAATCACTGCACAAAGTGAATTAAAATGTGTGTTTATCTCTGATACCAGCAGGGCCTTCTTGATTCGTCCAACTCGGGTTGACTTTAGTTAAAAAATCAGTGCTAATGCGCATGTGCCAACTGTTCCGAATCGAAGTCAAAACTCTTCCATTGAGTTGACTATTATAAGGGAGGTGAAAAATTTTTTCTCCTGTAATGCCTGTCAGAGCATTAAAATAAAAATAAATTGATTCCCTGAG